ATATATCTGGTGCAAAGATACTACAACGTCGAATTGATAAAAGAAAAAAAAAAAAGAAAAAAAAAGAAAAAGAATAATTGTAGAAAACCTTAAAAAGAGGAACGAAAAAAAAAGAAAAAAAACTAAGTCACGTGGGAGGATTCCTGGGAGACTTAAACGTTTATTCTCTTCGTAGCTCGTTAAAGAACGTCGAGAGAGAACAAGAAAATAAAAAAATATGGATGTTTGAACTGGTATTGGTCTCGTAGTTCCAACACGTTGGAAAATCTCGTTGAAATGTTATGTGGTGAACGAAATAAAAGATAAAGTAAAAATATGGTATAGTAATAGTAGTAGTAGTAGTAGTAGCAGTAGTAGTAGTAGTAGTAGCAAGAGAAAAATAAAAAAAAGAAGAAAGAGGAAAGATTTTCATCGTAGCAGTAAGTTTCTCAGCACGCTCGCTTATCACTCTCAGAAATACGCAATCTGTGTAATAACAAATTCCCAGAGCAGCAGCAGCAGCAGCAGCAGCAGCAGCAACGTTGCTAGCTTGCTAGGTAGCTAACGTTGGGTAGACACCAAGCAAAGCCAGTTTTACTTCAGGTTGCTCTCCATCATTCGGTCCTGTCACATCGCCCATCCTTGGAATTTGGGTCACCTGCTAGAGGAGAGTACCGGAACACTGTCGGAAGATAGAAAGACGTGAAGGAAGAAGAAGAAGAAGAAGAAGAAGAAGGGGGTTTTCTAGTCTCGAATAAGGGTTGAGAGGACTTGAGAATAAAATCTTCTTACCCTTTTCCCCCCTTTCTCATTCTTACGTTTTTTTTTTTCTTTCTTTTTCATTCCATCACTTTTCATCCCCTTTTTCTTCTTCTTATTACATTATTCTTTCTCTTTACATAATTCGATTAATTTGTTTTAGAAACCATAAGGAATATCAAAGGAATATTACATTCAACAACGATTGTTGTGTTACACTTTTCGTCTAATTCAATAGCCAACAGTTCGTTTCATTAAATTCATGGTTTTAGTCAAAATGATCACAGTTGGGAAACCTCAAAAGTACCAAATAGTATTAGTAGTAGTAGTAGTAGTAGTAGTAGTGGAGTTGCTGTCCAGTCAATTTTGATATTACTCCTTCTTACAAGGATTCGAATCCTTTTGTCTGTGCATCTTGCGATACGAAAGAAACTTCGTAAGAGTAAGAACTATAAACCAAGAGTTGTCCTCTTTCTATCTTTTTTCTTTTTCTTTTTCTTTTTCTTTTTTTTTTTTTTTAATTCTTTTCTGTTTCTGTTCTTTCTCACACTTTTTGTCTCTTGTTTTCGTCTCTGTCTCTCTGCTGTATCGATGGGAAAACCGATACCGCGTTCAAAGTCGATTTCCCGTAAATCGAAGTGCAATTCTTCTAGCATGTTACGTCTGTGTATCTAGAGAAAGAGAGAAAGAGAGAGATATAGAGAAAGTGTTCTTCCCGGAAATAAACTGCAATCGGTTTGCTAGAGTTCTGTAAAAACGATTGCTCTTACTAGAAACTCGTTGTTATTTAAATGAGAAGACACGTTGCCACAGTATAGTTCCGGTACTTTGCTTTCTCTATTGCAAACATTTCTATCCCCTCTCTTGCTCCCTTTTTTCCTCTATATTTTATTTTGTTTCGTTTCTACGATCGAATGAAAAAAAAAGTGATAAAACTCTAGGATAAAAAAGAAAAAGAAAAAGAAAAAGAAAAAGAAAAAAACAAGAAAATGTAAAGAAACAATATAAGATCTTACTAAAGTTTTGATTAAAAAATATGATCGTTTAGAAGATAAAAAAAAATTGTCCATTTGTTTATCGTCGATTGAATCATAAATCAGATTTTCATTTTAATGAGAACGTATATCGTGATTGTAGAAAGAATAGGAGATTATGATCTATGAATATGAGCTAATCGTTGAATGTAGCGTATTACGCACACGCTGAGTTGGTAAAGCGTATAATACGGGAGGTAGAATGATCTATAGGGTCTCATTGCGATTGGTAATACTGCATAGTGAGTATTACGAAAGCTTATCTATCCCTATTGCCGACGTTGTTATCACGTAATAGTATATTTGACGATATGTATTTTCATTATCTAGTAATATTACTGTTTAATCTTTATCCTAAGATTCAATCGTTCGTTATAATTAAAACGTATAGTTCGTTACAGTTTTATTTAGATTTATTATCTTGCATTAGTTTGTTTAACCCTTTAGGTACACATCTACTTGAAAATTATTTTGAAATGTTATATTTATTAGGGGTATATTACAAAAAGTAATCAAAATTTCTTTGATGAGTAGCACTTTTAATTACACTCAATTTTTACAGTATTTTTTGTCAATGAAAAATCGGAGGAATTTTTAAAAAAGAAATTGAACAATTTTCTTAACTTCTTCTTCTTCTTTTTCTTCTTTTTCTTCTTCTTTTTATTTTGTATTTTTAAAAATAATCTTTGGAACGTTATAACTTTTCACATTCAACAAACGAATATCCGAATGATTTGTTTTTTTTTTTATTTTAATTATTCCATTATACATCAACTTTCAAAACTTGTACAAGTATCGTCGAATTCGGAATTATGGAATTTTAAATTCATTTCCTGTAAAAATACGGGGGGGGGAGGGGAGGGGAGGAAAAACTTTTTCCTTCCTGYGGCTAATATTTTTCTTTTCTAATTTACTTTCGTTTTCTTTTCTTTTTTCGTAGAGAGTTTATTTTTCATCGAACTTTTACAAAATTCTTATTCAATCTTGAGAAATGCATGACGTAATGATAATAACGTTTAAATCTTTAAAAATAAGTAAAACGTAAACGTTAAAAAATCCGTAAACTAAATTTTTTTAAAAACTGACTAATTTTGTCTTCGTAATTACAGGAGAGAAGATTACAGAGATTCAGCGAAAAATAGTAAAGGAACGAAAAACGTAATCGTAAATGTATAAACGTAAAGAAAATCTAGTTACTTCGTGTTCTGTATAATTTAAATTAAATCATTTCATATTTGAATTTATAGTAAACCAGAAGAAGAAGTAAAAAAAAATGTAAATCGTTTAAACGTCCGAGAAAAAATATAATTATAATATTTTTAATGCAAACTCATGATGCATTTTGAAATACATAAAAAAAACCGTTTGACCATTTCTCGAAAGACCTTTTTTACGTTTAATCTTATCTACAGTAATTAAAAAAATAAATCGCATGTTATCAGGATAATTTTATCTTTTAGGACAAAATTTTGTCCATAGGAAAGAAGAAAAAAGATAAAAGAAAAATTTCAAATGTTACTCGCGACGATTAAATAAATTTTTTCCTATTATTTTTATTTTGTTTTATTTTTTTTTCAGATGTGAATATTACATTTAATGTCTTTATTTTGTAAAACAATTTTTATTAGTCAATTATAAGAGAATTTTATTATTAAAATAATTGGCAATTATTTGAAATAAATTTGTCGAGCAACATTTCAAGTTAAATTTCTTGCCAACGAAATAAATGTCAAGATTTTGATAAGATTAATTTAATATTCATTGCAGCATTGAATTAATTAATTATGTATAACTTTGATATTTATATTTCGTATAAGTTAAAATACAGTTTTTAAAGATTATGCTATAAAAAAATTTGTGATTTGCCATAAGAAAAGAATGAAATAAAAAAAAAAAAAAAAAAAAAAAAAACAAAGAAAGAAAGAAAGAAAAAAGAGATAGAAATAAAACGTTAACTATAGTTGTAATAATTATTTCATTTAAACTACCAATTCAAAGTTTTATTCTCTTCTTCTATTATCTGTTTAATGATATTTACATTAGTAGATGATACATCTACTCCAGGAAGAAAGAAATAAAAAAAAAAAAAGAAATAAAGAAAGATGGTAAATGTAATTAACAGGTAATTCTCCACCATCATTTTCATTATACTTTCTAAACGTACTATACTCTTAAAATAATCTTTACGATCTTTTAAGCCTCACGAATTTGGCCCATTGAAAATTTACTTTCTAATGTAAACCTAATTATCCCTCTACCTCGGGTATGAATAATTTATTTTCCAATGTTCTACCCCTTTTTCGTTTATTTTACACAGGTTATAATTCTTAAAAGTAGCGAATAAAATTACAATTTCATTGGTATACTCTTAATGATTACGGTACTAAGGGATATTTATTATTTCTTTAAAAAAAATATTTTTCTAAAATGAAATTTTTCTTCAACAAAAATCAAGAATCCAATTTAAACAATAATACAATTGTTAATGATTATTAATTATTATTTTTAATTAACGAAACGTGTTGGAATAATAATTACGGTTACTAGGGTTATTTATTATTTCTTAAGAATAATATTTTTCTAAAAGGACATTTTTGTTCAACAAAAATCAAGAATCCAATTTAAACAATAATACAATTATATAAATTGTTAATTATTATTAATTATTATTTTTAATCAACAAAAAGTGTTGGAATAATGAATGGTATTTAGGGTTATTTATTATTTCTTTAAAAAAAATATTTTTCTTATAACATTAAATTAAAATAAAAAATCCAATTTAAACAATAATACAATTATATAGATTATTAATTATTAATTATTATTTTTAATCAACAAAACGTGTTGGAATAATGAATGGTACTTAGGGTTATTTATTATTTCTTTAAAAAAAATATTTTTCCTATACCATTAAATTAAAATAAAAAATTCAATTTAAACAATAATACAATTATATAGATTGTTAATTATTATAAATTATTTTTAATCAACGAGACGTGTTGGAATAATAATTACAGTATCTAAGGTGATTATTAATTATTTCTTGAAAAATATTTTTCTTATAACATTAAACTAAAATAAAGAATTCAATTTAAACAATAATACAATTATATAGATTGTTAATTATTATTAATTATTTGTAATCAAGGAAACGTGTTGGAACGAACTATAATTAGATACGTTTAATTAAATTTATTATAAAATTTATTATTTTTTTTTTGTTTCCAGAATCTTTGAGTGCAAATAGCGGACCGATTATCGTTGCACCAGTTGGAAATCAAACTGCAGCTGTTGGAAAAGAAGTTGTTTTCTCTTGCAGCGTTCGAAACATCGGAAAGTACAAGGTAAACTAAATTATTAATTGAGAAGACATAAAGTTGTTTAAAAAGATATCATACTTATACTTTATTAGATACTTTTTATATACATATATAACCAAACCTATGATTCACCAACATCCAAATATTCTTTCTTCAAAATCGATAATATTCTTGCAAAAGTAATAGTTCAAAGTAGTTTCGCGGAAGAAAAACTCGACCGTTTGTGAGTTTTAATATCTTTCGAAAACGTTCAGAAAAGTTCACAGCGTTGGAAAAGAATTTTTCTCGCGATATACATTATATATATATATATATCTATCTTTCTACATCTCGTAAAAATATATTCACGCGGATAAAAAAAAAAAGAGAGAGAGAAAGTGAGAAAAAGAAAAAGATGTAGAGAATAAAATATAAAAAAATATTACAAAATTTTTCATAGAAATAATATTTTACAATAACATTACAAAATTTCATCAAATTATTTCACAGTTAAATATAATATACGTATAGTATATAAAATATTTAAAATATTTCCAACTAAATCGGTGTTAATATATTATATATTATATATATATATATATATTCACGAATAAAAAAAAAAGGTATATATAAAAATAAATTACATAAAACTTTCATTAATAATTTATTATTATTTCAAATATAAATGTTCCTATTTATTGGGTAATGAAGAATCGTTTATAAATTTTTAATTTGAATAAAATTAAATATAAATTTTAATTAAATACAGGATTATTTATTATTTCTTAAGAAAAGTATATTTCATTATAACATTAAACTAAATGTTAATATATATATATATATATATATATATATTTTATTTATACATACTTATTTATATACATATTTTATCATTTACTATATATTTTATTCCCGAATAAAAAAAAGGATATATAAAAATAGATTATATGAAACCTTCATTAATAATTTATTATTTTAATTATAAATGTTTTTATTTACTCAATAACGTAATCGTTTTTTAAATTGTCAGTGAATTTAGTTATTCTTATTTGATTTTTTTTTTTAATTTTCATTAAAAAAGTGTCAAGTATCGTACAGTTTTTTTTTTCCCCCGATGTTTATTCGCAATAACACGAAACAAATTTATTTCATTTTACATTTGCTTTTAGATTGCATACGTATCGGTAGAATTAACACTTTAAACAAAAAATTAGAGATGGTTTACAATTTGTGTCATGATATTTTAATAAATCTTTAAATAACCTCCTACACATTCTCAGAATGTTTGAACATAGAAATCTCAGTCACCCTTTTATATACAATATGTCAATAAATATGAAGAAAATTGACCTACTAAACGATATTTTGATTTTAAATAAGACAAATAAAATGTTCAATATAAATCAACAGATTTATTTTTAATTAATCGTAACATCTTTTCTCTCTACACTACATAAAACTGTATAAACATTTACAACATATTATTCTTGCTAAAGGTAGACCAATTAAATATTAAATATAAAAAAAAAAAAAAGAAAAAACATATGAACTTATTAAAATGATTCTTAAAAATAATTCTATCAAAGTATATATATTCCACACGTTACATATATATATTTATTATTTTTATTATTTCAATTATTTCTTTATTTAATATTTATTTTAATATTATTATATATTCGTAACTTTTTATTTATACACTTTGATAAAATTTTATTTAAATTTTGTTCTCTTATTAAATTTATTTTTTTTTTTTTTTAATTTAATTATTCAATTAAATTAAATTTTATTTGAAATCAAACATTCACGAGAAAAGTGTATAAAAATATTATTTTCACGAATAAATAATAGAATAATTCGATTATTATTTCATCGACATTTCAATAGAAATATAATGATTGAGATAAAAAAAAAAAAGAAAAGGAGAATGAAAAAAAAAAAAAAAGAAAAAAAAAGGGATCCACTATATCACACATACCACGAGTAACGTAGGTATGGAAATCCATCTTTTTCCCCTTGGCAGAAAAATTGAATCGAGCCAAGTGAAAAATCCCGCCACGAATTCCTTCAACGACCTGTCTTCTTCATCTCACTCTCTCTCTCTCTCTCTCTCTCTCTCTCTCTCTCTCTCTTTCTTTCTTTCTTTCTGGCACACAAATACACACAGAAAGTTAGGTATACACTTATACACATATTTTCTTTCTATACTAACATCAACGTTCTACCACTTAGTCTTCATATCGCGTTTACGTGGCCGCAAGTAGCTTGCTCGAAAATAAAACGAATCGTGGCAACTCGTTCGCTACGGTTTTAACTTTTTTACAGTTTGACGTTTTGCGAGCGTAAATGAACGTTTCTCAACGATAAATATAATAATATTTCTCTCCCTCTCTCTCTCTCTCTCTCTCTCTCTCTCTCTCTCTCTTTATATATATATATATTTCCATTTCGAGTGTAACTAAAAAAGTGATTTTAAACTTGAACAATTATTGTTGTCTATTACAGAAACAAGCCCAATTTTTCTTCTTTTTTTTTTTTTTTTTGGTTTTATTCTTCTCAAACGTTTCTCCTTATCATCATACATTTTTAATCCATCCAATTTTCTAACCGAATGTAGTATAGTAACGTGACTGTCGAACCGAGAAATTAAACTTTCTCTCTTTCTCTTATTTTCTTACCGTAACAACGTCTTGTCGTTTAAAGTACGATCCCTTTCGATTAGAATCCACTTGCTGCGCTATAAAATAAAGAAAGAGGAAAAAGAGGAAAGAAAAAGAATATAAAAAAAAAAAAATAACGAGGAAAGATAATAATATAAAAAAAAAAAAAAGAAAAGAAAAAACAATGAGAACAAGTGAAAAGAAAAATAGAAAAAAGAAAGAGTTACAAAGTCGTGGAAGGAGGATAGAATAATCGTGAAAAGTAAAGATAGAAAAAAAAAAAATAAAAAAGAAGGAAAAACAACTATGGATGAGGGCCAAACGAATTTTCTACTTTACCTAAATAGAGAAAGAGAAAGAGAGAGAAAGAGAGAGACCTAGAATAAAAAAAAAAAAAACAAGACAGAAAGAGAGAGAGAGAGAGAACATGGCGACAGATTCCAGGTCGTAAAATATCCGGTTAGATGAAATATTCTCGGCTCATGGAGAAAGAAGTTTCTCATCCTCTCTCTCTCTCTCTCTCTCTCTCTCTCTCTCTCTCTCTCTCCCTCACTCACGTGTAAAGAAGCTCGAAGGTAGAAGTAACAACTATGAGATCGGTGGGTGGGTGGTAGTGGTGGGTGGTTGGGGAAAGGACTGCTTGGGATTAAGATAAGCCAGGGGTACCAGTGAAAGCTTTCGAATAGTTTCTGGAAGCCCCGTTACGATAAAGCTTTCTAACCCTATACTCTCTCTTACTCTTTCTCTCTCTCTCTCTCTCTCTCTCTTTCTCTTTCTATCTATTTAAAATTCTAATTCCATCGCAAGGAGTAGTAGCAGCAGCAGCAGCAGCACTAGCCGCAGGACACAATGAGTAAAAGCGCGTAAAAGCACGCGCAAACAGGCTGCCAGTTCCTGGATCGAAACTATGACCCTTCATGGTGGGACGTACTTTAAGTCTTGCAAAAGCCTAGGAAAGCTTTCCTATTCTAACCATTCATCGAGCAGAAAAAAAAGGGGAAAAAAAGGAAAAGGTAGGGATAGGTTAGAGGAAACGACGACGACAACGACGACGACGACGACGACGACGACGACGGCTTAGCTGTCACGCTTTTAATACGGCTTCTGAAGAGACGTTTAGCATGCCGATGATGATAGATCACCTCCCATACTATTATATATATATATTCATTGAGAAAATATTTTATTTTTATTTTTCTATCTGTCGTTACCACCCAAAAGAGGAGAGGGAGATTGGTGAAAAGGGAAATGTCTTTTCTTAACTTTTTAAATTGAAATTGTTTTTTGAAGTAATAACTTCTTTAGAATGGGGCTGATTTGAAAATGAATGCGACGAGAAAGCGACAGATAGCTATAAACGAAACAAACAAACTTATTATTATTTTTACGACGATCATTAAATGTCTAACATTGATTAATTTCAATTTTTAAATATTTTTCTTTATATATAAGATACTAAATATTATTCTAAAAATATGCATTAATTAATTGCAAAATAAAATTCAATTTTGATCATTATTTATAAAAACATTACGCCTATAGGAATGCAACTTACAGGCTGCATGCTTGCAGGCGCGCATTTTTATAATTATTAAATAAATAATTACAAACAAAGAATAAAAATAATATTATATAATAAATTATCTTACGACTGATACTATGCATTCGTCTCATTCTCTTGAAACT